TTATAATCAATAAAAATTTAGTCTTTGTGTGAGAGATAAGGTTATTTACGAAATGGAAATGGGCCGCCCATGAATGCCTCAAAATTGAATGTTTTGTGGAAATAAGGCCCAAACCCAGATATCATGCAGTTCTATTCTGAAGGGAATTTGATGGACACAAGGAAACCCAAACCCAAATATTTACTGGGTTCAGTTGTTTATTGAAATTTTAATTCATAAAACATTACCATTTGAAATTAATATTAGACATAACTTGTAATCCATCTTCGTTTCATATCCCTTTGATACATTTTTCCGTTCTTTTTATATATAATTATTTGAAACCAATTTAAGAAGTATAGCAATCAATTTTAACTAAAAGATGCATGTTGCTTATTTCTTTAGAAGTTGAAAGTTTAATTATCCATTCCCACATTTATACATATTATTATTATTATATACTCATTTGTTTAGTATCTACGTTTAGAAAAAAAAAATTCTACGTTTATAAAATCTAAAGCAAATGATAAAATGTAATTTTTAACGAACCATTATCCTTTAAAAGATAAGATATATTATCTGGAAAAAAAATATCACTTATCATTATAAAATATATAATAAAACAAAAGGTGATGTGTAATTAAAAAAGAAAAATACTTTGTTTATTTATTTATTTTAATTATAATAAATCGTGAGAATGAGAGATTAAACTTTCCCCTCTTGACAAGATATTTAATCGTTAAATTATGTTAATGTGATTTGAAGAAGACTATAGTCGACTATCAATGTATTGCTTCTACAACTGTGAGTTCAAATTCTCCTATCAACACGTTGTTCTAAAAAACTATATTCTTAAATTAAATTAGCTATTTTTATATGAATTTAAACACAACTAAAACAAAGAACCTGCTCCCTGTAGAAGTAGGATCAATAACAAGTAATTATTATGAATTCATTTATTTGATCTGCAATGCCACCCATTTTCTTGACTTCCAACATTTAGGAGGAATTCAGTTCAAAGGACTATCATTCTTTTTCGTCTAGGGTTTACGTAAAATCCTCCAGCTTAGACTCAATTTCAGATTCAGCACCGTACTCCGGCGACGGCACTTAGCTGTGCCATGTCGGAGGCAAGTATCAGAGAGAACCAATTTCCCTGTTGTTCTGCACACCACTCGAAGAGTATGTTTTTTCTCACAAATTCAGCAGTTCCTTATTCCTTCCGTTTCCCCGTAATAGAGCCGCAAGGGGGATTGACTGAATCGCCACTAAGTGACACGATTTCATTACAATTGTGCTGTCTCGTCGGTATCTCCACATCCTGGAAGGACGGGATTATCAATATTTTTGTTCAGGTA